TGCGCATACTTCAGCGAGTAAGTACCATTTGAAAATTCCTTGCTACCCCCCTGGGCATCAGGTTTCGCACTTGAGTCCTTCTTACCAACACTCCTAACTGCAAGCGGTCCCTAAACCCAATAATCAGACGCCAAGCTCCAGGCTTACGAGACCATTGCAACAATATATATAGGTTTATTCACCCAAATTATTAATAACAAAAATAATAAGTATCTCTGTAACCGACAATTGACACAACTTCATGACAAAAATATTCTTGGGAGAAAAATGAAGTTCCATTTGTGAGTTGGAGTTAGTCTTGAGTATGGGTATTAAAATCATTCAGAGTGGGAGACTGGATAATGAAAATAGCGGGTTTATTGGATGAACTAGAGGTAGAAAATTTTAAAGTGTTGATAATTGAACTTGAGCATATATTTTCAAGCGAAAAATGAATATCCATCATGGTTTGCAGATAACTTTTCACTTACGGTACTTTCAGCCGAATTTGATCTTGTATAGTGACACTTTAATGTTGAAATGCCATATTTTTACTCCATTGACCAAAATTTTGAAATAGAGGATGTCCATGAAGTCCATAAATAATATTGTTGTTTTTGCCCTCAGATGTATTTAAATGAAGTAAAAATACTGATTAAAAATTAACAAACCCGGTTAAGATATATTAGGAACTGACTTTTTGGACACCCTGTACAATGATTGATCCCCGATGTTTTTCATATTGTATTACTGTTGGTTAAAAGTTTTTTAAAAAGCAGGGAAATTCAAAGTGAATTTTTGTCACTGTTCAAATACTTGTGTCGCATGACTAGAAAATTTCAGCAATACTTATATTCTGGGCATTCATTGATTCTCCTGAGAAGAAATGCAGCCTCGCAGGCAGAATATTTAGGGCAGAAATGAAATAATTATAGAGGGAAATTGGAAGATTTGTGCAGTCAGTTTGCAATAGCCTCCTACTAATCCGAACTTCTGACCACCGCTGATAAATTGGTACCCTTTTCAAAAAAGACAAATATTAACAATTCATATGCCGAAATTCCTCTTTTTGTCAAACTTGAATTCGGAAACGCCTGTATGATGTTTTCAGTTCATTTAACTTTTTTGTCAACATTAAAATTAAGTTGTATAAAATAATTGCTTTGTTAAATGTTAAAGTTAAATGAAGCCTTTTGGACAGACTGTCAGGAAATACATGGAAAGTAGAAAACACTGAATTTGGAAGAAAAGAACTGGATCAAGGAATCCAGGAAACTTGTGAATATCCAGGATAAGGAGAAGAGGAAAGAGCGACGATTCTAAAGAAAAGAATGAAAATAGATTGAATTCAAGGAATTCATATTTTTTTCCCATGTTTTCAGCCCCCATCCTGCAGGGTCTGCAAATGCAATTTGAACACATAGTAGATGATGTGTATAAAAGGATGCCACTTTAATATGCGATATCAGTGTCGTAAAACTACTTTCTTTCGTTGCACAATTGTGCAAATTCAATTTGAGAATTTCAGGTTAGAAATGGCCAAATACAAGATACGTTCATATTTGAGTCATGTACAACACATAATGACATAGCAGTCAATATATAGGGTGTCCATAAAGTCATAAAAAAATTTTAAAACTGTGAACGGAATTTAATCGATACCATATATTGTTTTGGCCCTCACAGATGTATTATTAAATGAAGTTAAATTCAACAATTATAGATTAAAAAACAACAAACCTGGTTAAGATATATTGATAACTAGGTGCTCCCGAAGTATGCGAACCAAGATGGCGGACATCGGAACGTAACAGGTTAGGGTTAGGCGATAATTTTTCTCCAATTTCCCTTATTTTAGTCCTATTATCAGTTCGAAGACACTAGCCAAGAGCCTCCCGTAGTATTTATACCTAAAATTATGGCCTAACCCTAACCTAGTACACATATTACATTCCGATGTCCGCCATCTTGGTTCGCATACTTCGGGAGGCCCGATAACTGACTTCAGAACAAAATGGAAACTGAAAAGGGATTTCACCCTGTATATATATTGAAGGGTGTCCCTTTGGTATGTGATCTCAGTGTCATAGAACAACTCTAGTACAAGATCGCAAACTATGGACACCCCTATATATTGAAAGATGTCACTTCGTTATGTGATCTCAGTGTTACAGAACTACCCTTGGTACGAGATTGCAAACACCAATTGTGATACTACTTTGACATGCTTTTAATCTCAAAAAATCATTCTCATAGAATCCAGTTCCAACTCTGTCATGTTTGGGCTAAACTAATATCATGAAGATCACAAACCAAAGTTTGAATTTGGAAATGCAGGAAAGTTGAGATGAAAAACAGAGATTTGGTTAGTTCTTTATTTTTCATAGTCGCCAGGAAAAAACGCTTTTCTGTTCAGTAAGAATACTTTACAGATAAAACTATTGCGAAATATTCCTAGAATGAACGATTTCAGACAAACCATATGAGATAAAAGGTTTTGGCCAAAAGCGTAGCCAGCCCCAAATTTTTTTTTGGGGGGATGGGGAGCAAATTATTGTTTGCCTAATGATGTTTACTCGAGCGTTTTTTAAACAAATTATGTTTCATCACTGCAAATGCCTTAATATTGAAATATGGTGGGGGGGGGGGGGTCGTATGGCCCCGTCAGACCCCCCTGACTACACTGATGGTTCTGGAAAAGGAAAATGTTGTTAAAATAAGCTTATGAAGTGGGGTCATTCAACGAAACAAAATTTTTAGGGGAACCCACGACTTGTATCCACATTGTCCACATTCTACCACACAGATATATCATTTTGACTCGGAAACCAAAGTTAAGTGATATTTGGTTGTATTATAATGGGTTTTTTAAACAGCAAATGCCGCAACATTATCATATTATAGTTAGTGATAGATTTCATAATTACAATTCCCTAAAATATAAGAAATAAACAAAAAACACAATGAGAAGAAAAATATTAAAAATGCAGGTGCCATATTGTTAAAAAAACACAATTCCAACATTTATTCGTCCATGTGGCACATTTCTCATGCCATGAGGCACCAAGTGAATGCCACAATGCATCATGTCGAAGCCACTTCAAACTCAGGCAATGAAAGTCATATCAGGCTCTGGATATCTGTAAACAATTTTGTTCGGTTCAAAGGTCATGGTTCAAAGTTCACGAATGAGGGAAACCAATGATAACTGAAAATCATGATAACATGCAACATAAGCAGCGAAAAATAATTAATTCGTTTTAAAACAACTTAATTATATAAACAAAAAAATATTCGCAAATTGACTAAATTGCATTTTCCCAAATTAGGAGTCATTTTGTACAGACAAGTATTGCTATTTTGTGTTTTTAGCTAAATAGGAATAATGACATTTATATGAGAACTTCCGGCAAGTCTCCAAACCGATAAAACTTAAAAATCAGAGTCAGAAATTTGGACTAAAATTAAAAAAGGTTCCACACAGGGCCGGGGAGACAGGAGTCGTGGCATTTCGTTGAAGATGGGGCTCACCATGTTACTAGCTATATTGTTGGAATGTATCAATAAAATGATTATGACAAAACAATAAATGTAACATGCCAACAAATCAACAAAAGAACATTCAAATGAGGGGGAGAGGCTCCTAATTTGAATTTTCCTTTTTTTGAGAAATCAATTCTTTTCTATGTGGTTTGGTCAATATAATTATAAAAATTGGAATTCAATGAAAAAACTGAGTTGGTAAAAAACTAATATCTTATGATGGCCATTGATCAATGGACCTTTCCCCGACCTTTGACCCCGAAAAATTCTTTTTATACTTTACCATTGCAAAATTTTCGGGGCTCATTTTAAGAGTGGTTACGCGAGTTGGCCCCTGTAAAATGGGGTATTTGTTTCAAATCATTATTATGATTCATCGTGTACAATGAACAGTTTTTTAGAAGTACCGGTGAGAAATTTTAGACTAGTCTATCACAGCTATTTCTACACCAATTCTTTATTACTGCAATCAAATTAAAGCTTCTAAAAAGACATAGTGATTGTTGAACTATCTGATTTATATTTAAATTTCCAAAACACAACTGAAAACTAACGAATAGAGTACAAAAACGCGAAAACGAGGTGATGTTCACAATCACGCCTGAAAATCTGCCTGAGCGGATGTGAAAAGTGGGCATTGTTACGTCATTTGCTGATTGGCCAATGTCACGAAGGAAGTCGATGCTCGGGGAAAGGTCCATAACTTGAAAGTTTCATATTTTTGAATTTTGCAATTTGCAACTGATGAATGAATATACATTAGCCAACATAATCATAAAACTTTGAATTCATTGAGAAAAATTTGGGTTGTTAAAAAACGAATGCAATTTATACATGATAGCCCTGATCAATACGCAACGGCATGAGAAAATGGCTCTATTATCTCTAATTAAGGATGCCGAAATCCTAAAAGTTTTGTATTTAAGTAAGAATTTTAATTTGCAACTGATGAATGAGGTGACCGTACATTTGAACCCACGTACATTTGAACCCATGCGTATATCCACGGGTTCAATCTATATGCGGGTGCTAAAACCCATGGGTTAGGGTTAGTATGGGTTTAACTATCCGTGAAACAAAAAAAATTCCATAGGTGCAATAGCATACAGGTGCAATTGTCATGGGTTCAAATGTACGTGGGTTCAAATGTAATGGAACCGATGAATGAATAGACATTTGCCAACATAATTATAAAACTTGGAATTCATCGAAAAAAACTTGAGTTGTCATAAAACTAATGCAGTCTGCAAAAGCGTGAGGAAATGGCTCTATTATCTTTAATTAAGGATGCCAATATCATAAAAGTATTGACTCCTAGAATTCTAATTTGCGACTGATGAATGAATAGATATATCCGCATTAAGTCGAATGTGCAGTTTTCTCCAAATAACCTTCTGGACTAACATACTTTGACACTTACACTACACTTATTCCACACATTTCATTTGAAAAAGAAAAAAAAAGACTATTTCTAATGATAAATTTAAAATAAAATATGGGATAGATATATTGTAGCAGCATGTAAACAAATATTTTGACACAGCATGTAGTAGCACATCACATATAAGTCCATGTAGCAAGCGTGTCTGCAAGACGATGCTGATCTGAGTCTAGTCTGTAGTCATGACAACATGCAACAACACAAATAAAATGTTAAAACAAATAAAAAATGAAATGAATTTAAAAACATCTTGAGCCGGACATGCTCCAAACATAAACCATGCTTAAATGGTATAAAGCATAATTGGCTCAAGCTTGGTCATATAATAATAAAGAAATAAGTACTCTCGAAGTATGTGAACCAAGATGGCAGCACTGGAACATAGTATGCGTACCAGGTTAGGGTTAGGCCATAATTTTATTCCAATTTTTCTTATTTTAGTTTTATTACGAGTTCGGGGACTAGCCAAGTGACTCCCGTAGTATTTGTACCTAAAATTACGGCCTAACCTGGTACACATACTACGTTCCAGTATCCGTCATCTTGGTTCACATTCTTCGGGAGTACCAAGAAATATTCCTCAATGGCTAAAAATTGGAAATTAATGTAAATTCATGATAAAATCAAAAGACCAAGTCTCAAAAACTAAAAAATGACAGGTTTTCCAAATTCATCCGATTAAAGCAGCATAAGCCAAATCATAAAATAGGGAAAGATCAATGAAAACAATTTTTCTCTTCTATTTCATTAAAATTATGGCAAGTAAAATATTTGGTTAATTGATAATTATTACATCACTATTGACAAACTGTGATAAAACAATGGCAGTATAAAATTGATAATTGTGAAACGATAAAATCACTCTTGTGATATCACCAACAATATATTGTGACAGAACAATTCAACTTGTATGACAAAACAAAACGTCCGTGCATCCCACGTCAACATCAAAAATGAGAGAGACAGAGAATAGGAGAGAGGTCACGCATGGTTAGCTCTTCATGCTTTGGTTAAATAACTAAAAAGAAACATGCAAAATGAAAATAATCAAAAGAAACGCAATGATTAAATCTATGAACATATTTCAGTGAAGTTTCTTAAATGTTTACTCTAAACAAGGCACTTCACAATAGGGGTATGGGACAGGATTTTTATATTAATCTGGAAGAATAGCCAATAAGATGGCTTTATCATATGGGTAGCTATTGCTTTATATAAATAGCCTATATTTGAATTTGTGTATCCTTGCCTTAGCATGGAGTACAGCAATCCTACCACCCATGAATTCGACCCAAAAACCCTTACAATCAGAAGCAGTGACCCTAACCCAGGGAGAGGGGCAAATTACAGCCTGCGGGCTGGATGCGGCTCTCCGAACTGTTTCATTCGGCTTACTTGTGTCTGCTGGGATTACGACTAGTTTTTATGGGTACTCCTGAAGTATGCGCACCAAGATGTCACACAACCTGAACCCTAACCTGGTACACAACCTGAGTTCAGGTTGTGCGCCATCTTGGTGCGCATACTTCCGGAGGTCTTTTTTATGATTATAAAATTTTGTTGAAAATATCGATTTAAAGATATAGCCACAATGTCTAGCTTTCGCAAATAAACTGTTATTTAGTCATATCGAATTTTGAGCCGAATTTTATGCTTTGTAACGACATCACAAAAGTAATTGTCCACCCATGGCCGGAACCATGAGTCAAGTAAATCACGAAGTTAAGCCTCACTGATAGCCAATTGATCAGCCCTAGCCAGTAGCCATCCCATTTAGATGACTCAAGTAATTTCAAGTCTTTGATAAATAATAACTAAAGTCGAGTCGATGGTGGAGCCTCCTCGGTGCTGATTAGACGGAAAATGTTTGAAATTCCATTAACACTGAAATATGGAGATTTATACCAAGAGAAGACTTATTTTGCAATAATTCTTGAAGTGGTTCAACTGGGTTTACCATCTCTGTACCTGGCCCTCACAACCAAAGTTACTACCTAAGATTTTTACCAAGTTAGTTAGTTGAATGAGGTAATTGTTAATCAGCAGGCAATAACTTACTTTTTGCATCGAATATAGAGGTCTGGTATCTGGATTTATTTGACGGATAATTTGCATATTTATGAATTTATAAATTTTGTTTTGGAGTAAAACTTGGAATGTATGTTCTAACGCAAATTTCAGGGTGATTTAGCCTACATCACTAAAGTGTCGACAAATTTTCTCTCACAGAAAACACGAGAGTTTGGGTTGAATTTTGTCTCTGTGGTATATTCCACAGATCGAAATCAATTTTTTAGAATAAATTGCTGAGGTTACCACACAGACTCAGGATAACCGAATCTGAGTAACAGATACCTATATTGATTTATGTTGGTGTATTCATGTACCAAAATATTTAATTTGACCGAACCAAAACAAAGAAAACAAAACTTAACAAAAACGAAATCAGCATTCCCCAACCAAATGTGAAACCATGAACTGAACACCGAACTTAAGACAAAAAATTCAAAACGAAAATGGTACTCTTATTGCCCGCCATTTTTTCACCAACTTCACCAACTGCCCGCCAACTGTTCCTTTGATTGTTTATATCAGCTTAGGACAGGTTTGTATTATACTGGCTGTCAGAAATATTTTATAGTGATACCTATTAAAAAATTTCTTTGTATTTGTTTATAAATAGTTCTCATTGTGCTTGTAGTTTTCATTTATCATACATTAAAATCATTGCCCGAAAAATGTCGCCTGATTTATAGCGATTCCAATTGTAAGTTTAAATAAATTTTATTGTATGATAAATTAGAACTATAAGCACAATAAGGACTACTGTATTAATGAACAAAAACAAAGAAATTTTTATTTTGTATTTTTATAAAATCATTTTTATGATTATTTTTGTCATTTCACAGAACAGAATAAAAAAACAAATACCAAAAAAGTGGCTGGGCAATAACAGTACCATGACCAAATATGAATGAGAATAAAAAACAAAAAAATTCATTAAAAAAATTTATGAAAAATTATCTTACCTTCTGCTCGATTCCATGACGATACATGAAAATTAAAAGAAAATGCATTAGTTGGAGGGTATGAAAATATTAAAATATTTATCAGTAATAAATCATTAACATTTAAATTAAATATCAATAAAAACTAAAAAAATTGCGGAGCAAAAAATAATAACTGATAATATTAAAATAAAAAGAAGATGAAATAAAGCAGTGGTCACCAAAGTTGATTGGATCAAATTAAGAGCAGAAGAATATTCGAGGGCCAAGAGGGGGGAGTGGCCTCAAATAAAGGGCCGATACCAGTACGTATGATTGAGATACTTGTATATTTGAATTGTTAAAAATATACAGAAGCTTAAACTAAAGCTTGGCGGTATCTAGAAGGTAGATAAAACATAAATTGTTAAAAACTATTTCAATCAATTTTGGCGTGTCATATTAAATCAAATAATGGCATTATTACTTATCTATTTTAATCGGTAAGTATGTTGATAGGTATTTGTCTGTTTGTCTGTTAGATACACGCGATATCTCGCGAAAGCGAGATTGAATGTGCTCCAGATTTTGCATGTGCATTCATCATATCTCGGACCAGAAGCCTATTGATTTTGGATGAATTATGTCACATAATTACCGAGTTAATAACTAATTAGTGATGGGACACAAGGTTTCACTATGGAGTAAGAGCGCTGGCTTGGGGAATCCCCTAACTTTCTATCGATAAGTCTTCGGTCTCTGACCGATATTCTCGTTTACTGTTTGGTTGAACATTATCTAGTTTCTTCGGAAGAAGTTAGAGTCCAGCGGTTCCCAACCGGGCCACAGAGCAGAGGACCAGAGAGCAGTTCGGGGGGGGGGGGTCACAACGCAGGGCACAAAACTGATGTTACTTTTGCCTTCACAAAAAAAACGGCCGTTCTTCCTAGTTTCATTGCTTGATAAGGTTAGTTCATAAGATGTTTTCACTTTGTTGAGCATGAATTGTTTGAACACAATGGGATTTGGAATCTTACACTCACAATACCACTGGAATGATAAACAAGGGGCCATGAGTTCTAAAAGCCTATAGAGGGCATATAAGGGTTGGGAACCACAGAGTTAGACTATGATCTAACAAATTTATACGTAAAACTATCATGCTGTGCCATATAAAATTCGGACCTCCAGAAGTAACCGCCCCAAGATGGCACACATACTTCATGAGCGCCAAAAAATCATACATAGAGTGATGCCAGATTTTTTAATTAAAGGAAATTCAACGTCAGTTAGTTAAAGAGAGAGTTTAGATACCTCAGTAAAGAGTAAGGCAGGGCATTTCGAATCGAAAAGAGAATTATTCAAATTGATTCAGGCGGAAATTTCGAAACGCCGCCATCTTGTTGTGTTTTTGTCCGCTAATGGCCGGGGAGAATTCCTCAATTTTGTTTTATTGAAGCCGTATGTTTGAGGTGCAATCCTGACATACGGCTCTTTTCGTCCTAGTGAGTTATTGATGAAACATGTTTTTTATTGTGAGTTAACACTCAGCGAATTGCAGAGTGGTGGTCTTCATGTATTCAGTAATTTATACATTGAGAGGACAATTAGATATCTCATGAGTATTTGAGATTCGATTCGAAAAAAAATTTTTGACTGTTTTATCGTAACGAGTCCTTTTGACAAATAAATTAGTGAAAACACGTAATCTATTACCCAGACAGTTTGCTGAGTGTTCACACAGTAAGAAACATGTTTCATCAATAACTCACTCGGCTGAAAAAATCATACGTCAGAATTGCATTTTAAAAATTTGACATCGATAACAAAATTGAGGGATTCATCTCGACCTGTGGGTGGACAGAAAAAACAAGATGGCGGCAGTTCTAAATTCCTGTGTGGAATGACTCAAATAATTTACTATTCGACTTGAATATTCGTTTCAAAACGCCTAGCCCTGGCTTGTCCAGAGCCTTTTTCAGAGTAGAAAAAGAACAGCTACTCTACCCCAACAACTACAACCCACTATTTACTACTTCACCCAACTACTGATTCTATTTACCATCGAGAAGTGACAATTGAGCTAAAATATGGCAACAGAGAAAAGATGGTTAGTGTTGCATTATGGGAAATATATGCATTATGGGTAGAAAAGAGACTTTGCATGAAGAGCTATTTTGATTTTAAAATGATAATATAAAAGCAAGTAAAACATTCAAGAGAATAGCACAGTAATTGGATCTAATTTTTTCCCTAGTTGTTTTCCAGGCTGTATTTCAAATCGTTTCAAGTTATGGGTGTCAACTCTTCAACACACTCGCAAAATAAGTATCTAAATTTTTGCAATAGTAAAGTTATAGGGAGAATTTTTCTGGGGTCAAAAGTCGGGGAAACGTCCATAAATTGAGCAGGACGAAACAGGAAGATGTCAGTACTTCCAGAAATAGTAGCATTATGTATGTTGGCGGTGTGCCGCATCGTGCTAAGCGTTAGAAATACGTTCGCCACCGCACTTCTGATTATCCTGCACAGGTTCGCAGGTTCGAATCACATGCAGAGATAGTTATGTGCGAGAGAATTGCTGGACTCCCCGTTGCTGTAGGGTGGTTCACGTAATCTACGATCAAGTCCATGCATCTGAAACTAATAACGGGCTAACTAATCCCATACCCGACATGGACTAGTAACCGGACGAGAGGCTGTGGTTCGCCATATGATGAAACAGTCTCACTGGCTTTTTTCTCCCCTGGGATAAATATGTAAATCCTATTTGAGCTTTGTTTGGTATGAAAAAGACTTTTATAAAATAAATAAAAGAACAGATTACCTTGCGGCAGACCCAGGGTGAGATCTTCTCGCAGCAGAAGCTTGTCGTTGCCTTGCTAAGAATGATTGGCCTGGGTTGGTGTGAGACAGTCGCTCATCGACTGCTTTCCGATGCAGTTTCATGCCCTGGAAACAAAAAAAAATGTGAGAATGTTAGAGATTTATCAAATCGTACACCACAAGATGATTTCTAGTACGGTGAAACCGGTAATCGGTCGAGAGGCTGTGGTGCGGCATATGATGAAACAGTCTCACTGGCTTTTTTCTCCCCTGGGATAAATATGTAAATCCTATTCTTCTACTATGTTGAGAGTTTTTAATTTACTCCTTTGCACTACACTTGCCGTAAAACGACAAAAATTATTAAAATAAATATTCAGAATACAGTACAGTTGGTGATTAGGACATTCAATCAGGTTATGACAGTTTATGTGCATAAACAAGCCCACATACAGGGTGTTCATAACGTCCCTTCACAATTCCAATTTCAGTTCTCAATATATCTTATACCAGGTTTGCTGTTTTTTTAAATCAGTAATTGTTCAAGTATTTTTACCTCATTTAATACATCTGTGAGGACCAAAACAATATATGGTATCGATAAATTCCCTTTGCAATTTACCTATAACACCCTATGTATCACATTGATTAAATGTGAATATATCCTAATACGTCCTTGTCATAATTTAATGTTTTTAAAGTGAATTTTTTTCCGAATGTGTTGTGAATTTTATTACAAAAAGAAAATGCCTTGAGTTTGAAAAGTTGTAACCCCCCCACCCTTGAGAAATCCGGTTTTAGATTGGCAATGACATCAGAAATTATGGCTTGGATTCGGATACTTTGGAATTTGCATCCATATTGAAAATTTCAATCCCGACCCAACTAGGACTGTGATACTTGCAAAAAACACCACACTTTAACTACCCCGAGCCCTCGGTTGAAGAACTCATAATCCAGGAAAAAGTATAGTTGCAGGCACTTATATATTTATAACTCTACAATGTACAATGATTTAGGAATTCAATCCATAACTCAGATAGATTCTAATCCGGGACCTCTGACAATATGACCAAGAATGCTATCCTAGGACCCCTCACTTACCATATTATACCAGGCATTCACAATCATCCTTTCTTCTTGATCTCTAGTCTGTTTGGTTTTCTCTCTTTCTTGCTGTAAAATAAAATAAACAAAAATGCATAAAAAAAACACTAACCTGCAATGTTCCCTCTAATTTTTTATAGTATCTGTGCACAGAAATTTTGGTGTGTGCGCACTTTTTTGGAAATGACTAATATTTGTGCAAAAACCAATGAAGAAATTTTGGCGTTTTAACCGGGTAATAAGTGGGCCAACAACAAACTTTCTCAACCTGCCAACCAGGCACATTGTTACATTACATCGAAATACGTCTGTGCGCAGTAAATCTATGCGAGTGCGCAGCCTCTGAAAGCTGTGTGCGCACGCACACCTTAGAGGGAACACCGCTAACATGTATGGCATTGGTGAGGAAGTTTTCATGAAGCATGGCCTCTTCCAAAGACTCTCAACAGTTTTCCTTTTAACCCTCAAAGAAGTATTTTGAATTAATGCAGTATTAATGCTACTTAGTGCTGGCAGCTGCCAGAATATCTCTATGGCCGTCTAGGTGGGCCAAGACAAACAAACCCTAGTGTAGTGAGGGATGAATAGAGGGTTCTAAAATAGCCAAAGAGAGGAATTTAATGAAAAATTTTGGAAAATATTGGATTAAGGAAAAACTTACTTCAGCCTGTTTGAGCAATTTATCCTTTTCATTCAACTGAGCTTTCAGTTTCTCCATTTGAGTTCCAGATTGCTGTTGGTTTTTGTTCGGATCCAACGTTCGGATAACTGTCTTCGCTTTCTCAAGATATTTTTTGTACCTGGAGGGAATTAGGAATTTTTTTTATTTGATTTTAATCAAGCGAAGTCATAAATACTCTCTCGAATATCTCTGAGTACAGTCCCTGGCGAACCTTTTTCATTGAATAGCAAACTTCTTATTAACCTTATTTTTTTTATCATGAATAAGGAGAATGTCGTACATTTTAAATATTTAGGCTTACACATATCTGGGTTATAATTATAACGTTACAGGAAGGTCAAGTCACTGTGTCCCAAGCTTGCTAGAGTTGGAGTGACATACTTTTTTTTTTTACTTAATGGGCCACGCAACTTGTTATATTCTTTTTCATGAATAGGAAATAAGAAATATGCCAATCCTTGAGCATGCGAAATCATATGTAATGCAAAAGTTATTGCTATGTCCCAAGGATCGAAACAGCATTTTTGCAAGTGACAGAAAACAATTGATTGGAATTTGTAGTTAACTTAACTTGTAAATAACTCCTTAGTTGTGGCTCAATCGCAAATTTTATATTGATGCTTTTGTCACTGAAAAGGTTGGTACAATTTTCAAAATATCTTCATCATTTGAGGGTGCTACCAAAAAAACTTTGCAACCTGCAGTTCAGTGGTTCGTCTTCCCCTTTATACATCTTAAAAAAAAAATTAATTCCTACCTTTCCTCCATATTCCTCATATCATCTTCTTTCTTTTTCAGCAATTCTTTCAATTCATTGACCTGTCGATCACCAGCCGATACTTGAGGTTCGATCTCTTCAATGTAAGCTTTCTTGTTCTGAAGCTCTGAGTCACGATCTCGAAGTTTGACTCTGTAATGTAGTTGAACAATTTTAGTGCATATTATAGCTAGGCTGAATCAAGGGATAGCCAAAACAGAATATTTCACTATTCCGAATACATTCTGATAAAATAATTTTGAATATGTGATATTGAATACATTCTAAATTGGGGGCAAGTAAAAAATAATATAAATTAATATATTTGTATGTTAATCACATCTAAAACGCCATAAATTTATTGTTTTCATTGATTTCTCGGCGGCCCAGAAGTATGTGTACCAAGATGGCGCACAACCTGAACCCTAACTTGGTACACATACTATGTTCAGGTTGTGCGCCATCTTGATGCACATACTTCGAGTTCGAGAGCACCAATTTCTCTGCGCTGTTTGTCATATATGATTGTTGCATTGCATTGTTTTATGAAGTACTTCACAATTTCTCCTAAAAGTGCTCTGAATAGGATTTCTTTATTGCTAATTTTGAATCTAATTAAAGATACCATGAAGATACTTACAAATGTTCTTCTAACTTCTTTCTCAAAGCAGCATTCTGAAACAAAACGATATGAATTAGCAAAGTTCAACTAAAATAAATTTAAAAAAAAAAGAGAAAACATTATCAATAACACATGAGAAATCTGATCTTGCTACATCGTTAAAATAAGGCTAATATATGTAATATAATCCCAAACAGTTTGGTACCAAATTTGAATTTTGGTTTCAAATAGTTTGAGTCCTGTTGCTGGATGGATTTTGAAATAAGCGATATGAGTATATTGTTGTGTAAGCAAGTCTCTTGAATCACAGTGCAGATAGCTGGTGCAAACTAGCGTGTTAAGCAAACAGTGACTACTTGTGCTTGTGTAGTGAATTATTGTGTAGAGCAGGGTGTGCCACATTTTTTGTCGGTGGGCCATATAACAAACTTCAGTCATCTAGTCGGGCCACGCAAAAATTTAGGTTTATCCATGCGGAAAGGCAAGAGAAGAGAATGCTGCTATTGCTTAGCCTTGTAGTAAGTGATACAGGTACCAGACAAAACAGCGAAAGATTTACTGCAGCGCAAGAGCAAAAACATTTAGTATTTTTACCAACATGAGCGACTTTTTTAACATAAACTGTCGGATTAGGACTTTTGATTGATGGGTAAAAAAACAAGTGTTGACAAGGGCCATACTAAATGGCTTGGAAAGCCAGGTTGTGACCGCCTGTTGTACACCTCTGGTGTATTGAATACAAATTATTTGGCTGAGAGAACCCATTTGACATTAAAAAGTGTTTTTCCATGAAGCATTAACTAGGGATGTCCCTGAAATGCAGCTAATTAAACAAGATTCATATCACTCCTATAACTCATTGTAATTTATTTTAAACAGAATATGCTTAATTGATGTTTTCAAGGCAATTATAAATTCCTAATTTTTTAAATTAAAAATCATTCCTGGCCATGATTTATTGAGATATTTTGGTGCAAATTAAACAAATAGCATGATTTTGATCTAAAAATAGTCACGTAGTCCAATTATATCGAATTGATCTACTACTGGATAATACATAGAACACATCACACCCCTACGCTAACAAAGTCAGTATAAACTCAAATCTACTCGGGGACAGTGGAACCAAATTATTAGCTATTTCATTAAAAATTTTGTGCAAATATCGAGCATAATTTGAATTGAGTCATGTTCCACCATGAATACATAGAAGTCAATGGGGGAAATTTGAGATTAATTTTGTGTTTTCCACTTTTCCAAATGTTTTTAAAGACATTTTTAGCCGTTTTAAAAGATTTCAATTGCCCTGGATAATAATTTTTTGAAATAAATTAATTATTCTGAAATATTTTTGAAATCAAGAATTTGAAAAATTGAATACAATTTGAACGATTGTGCCACTACTCTACCAAAGCCAATGTAAATTACTACACGCAAATTACAAAAAATTGCCCACATCTGAATAGCCCTATTATTATTGAAGAATAAACATTTGCTCTGAACAAGGCTATAAAAAGCAGTGGGCCTGCAATCATATTTAGGCCGCAAGACCTTCTAATTTGTGTCGCAAAACAATTTGTAATTTGCCATAAATATAAGTATCCAGAGTTGTCTGCGGCTTCAATGAATGTTCTTCTACCCTTCGTAACTACCTACTAATGTGAAAGGACGTTTTCTGTGTTATCACATATTAAAAACAAATACAGATCAAAGTTAGAAGTGGAAGAAGATCAACACAGAGCCTGTAATTCTCATTAGGCAGAGTGAATGCAATTATATTCTATTTCATATGCTAAGTATGGCTCGGCGGTGTGGCCACCAAATCTCTGATTATCCTGTGTGGGTTCGCAGGTTTGAATCCCATGCGAGTATAGTTATGTGCGAGAGGATTACTGGACTCCTAGCCGCCGCAGGGTGGTTCACTCAACCGATAGTCAGTTAGGGCTATATCCTCCATCTGGTCCATGCTTCTGAAAACAAATACCTGGCTAACTAATCCCATACCCGACTTGGACTGGTAACCGAACGAGAGGCTGTTGTTCGTCATATGAAATTTTTTAACTCGAGTTCAGGAAATACAAGAGGTTCAATAACATTGTAACAAATTTTTACAAATCCTGTTTTGTAATGTTTCATTTGAACAAAGTCAATCCGTATATTAGTAATTGAGATGGCCTATTAGTTCGGACCAAACTTGGTTGGAATTGCAGATTACAGATCTCCAGTTTACACCCCACCTCACCCAAGAAGGTGTCACAAATTGAGGAGGCAATGCCGCAAACAGAAGATTTCGGTAGATCTAAAACATGTATAAATCAGTGGGTGGGCTCGATTGCTTAGCGGTCACAGCGTTAGAGCAAACTATGTTTGAGTCGCAGGTCATAAACAATATGCTTATAGGCGCATAAATCTGATCGCACTATTTCTCTTTTATAACCATATGCATTGATAGGTGAGTACGGCGTATTACGATTGTAATGTCGGCTTATATGCTAACTTTAGTGAATTAGCTGTTTTTGGACTGTTTTTAAGGGTCAACCTAAATGCGAGTATATATTAGTGAATGCTTGTTCAGAACAGATGTACAAAATACTTCAAAAACAAATCAGGCTACTCAGGCAAATTGTTGAACTCAATTAGTGAGCATTATTCATCTATCACACAGCTTTCACTCTCTACTTGTGGATACTACTACTTACATGAGGCTGTAGGTTGGAAAAAAATAATACAATTATAACATTTGTGGAATAAGGGAGCAATGCTCAAAATATGAACACAAAGTCTTTGAATCGGTAGGGCATTATAGCACAAATTTTGTCATAATAATCAGCGGACAACCGATAAGGAATAAAAAGTGTTCCCCTTTAAATAAAATTGCTGGTGAAATATTGCATTCCATACATAAAACTAAAAGGGAATTCGAAAGGAAATAAAAGTAATCGCCTTTTAGCGCTTCTCCGTCTTCTACTGAAAATTTTGAATGGAATAGAAAGTGATCCCCTTCAAATAAAAGTATTGGTGAGTCCCGTAGCTTTTTCCATGTTTAGGAACTGAAAATTTTGAGTCGATTGGTACACTAGTTGCAGATAAAAGTGATTTTTTTGCCCAATTCATGCCCAAATTTGACAAAATCATCCTTTCATTTTTCTAATCGAACATTTTGCTAATCTAAATATATACAGGATAAGGGAATATGCTTGTCAACCGTGGCTCTGGTTACTTGATTTATGTCGCATGGATTCTGTAAACAACATTCAATCCTGTCAGCTTGAGCTCACCGACTAGTCGGTGAACATGATGATACCCTAGCGGTCAGAAAAACAATTGGGCGCTCCAGAAGTGCGTGTACTAATATGGAGGTAACTAATTTTGTTCGCATACTTTACATCAAGTTATGTAAAAGGACTGAAACCTATGGGTATTTACTTGACTAACACAGTCAGTCCCCGAACTCGTAATAGAACTAAAATAAAGAAAACCTGAATAAAATTATGCCCTAACCTGGTACACACCCTACAAGAGCACCCACAATTGTGTAGGCGTTGGTGATTTATGGACCAAGTTTCAAGCACCGTGCATAACACAGTTGGCGGGCCAAACTCGATGCTAGGCACAGTCTGTTGAAGATCTCAAGTTCAAATATTGCAATTTTTGGACAACAAATTGAATTAAATTTGAATAAAATAAGTAAAATCTAAACTTACATCTTCCAACTGTGATCCTTTATCCTGCAGATCAGACTGAAGATCTTTCACTTGATTCTGGAGTTCCAGGGATCTTTGGTTGCTTAGCCTAAGAAAAATTATTTAGGGCAGGGGTTATCGAACTTTTTAAGCCACGCCCGCCTTTTTTGAATTTAACAAGTCTCGCACTCCACCTCAAAAATAACTAGTTAACAATGAGCTACAAATAACAGATAGTATGGTGAAAGTATGTTTTATTTAAAGACACGTTAAAAATACGTGAATGGAACATAAATAATAAGTTTTAATGACAAGCAAAGTTTGTTGTTATTTCAAATAGTGCAGTTGTTTTTGGCAGACAAAATAAGAAATGTAAATACTCAAAACAAGGCGGGTAAGATCAAATCTAACAAATATTTTCAATTAGTTTCACGCCCCCTCAAAAAATAGTCCACGCCTTTCCCTTGTGGGGCGCCCCCCACCATCACAACCTATTGGTTGTGACCCAAAATTTAATCATCTAAAAAATTTCTTTCAACAAAAACCTGAAACGACTTTTATTTTCTTCAAATAATTTTGTTTTATTTTATATATTTGTATTAAAGTTTTGCTCAATAGTAATTGAAGCAATTTTCGATCCACGAACTCAAGCATAATGCAATGCTACTGTAAATATATTTTCATCATATCACAAGAATTCTCTAATTTGCCATTACCTTGTTTCTGTTTCAAGTTCATTAATTCGTGCATTAGCGACCTCTAGTTTTGACGTAAGTTCCGCTGTTCGTTCGTCTCCCAATTCAACTTGACGAGCTTGCAACATCTTGTTCTCGTGTTGGAGTCTGATCAACTTCTCTCTAGAAGTTAAAAATTTATTGTGTAAAAACTTATATTCCAGACTTTTCATATTAAAAACGTTTTCGTATGAGCAGCCACTATCATTTTTAAAAACGCCGCTATCTTTAACGTTCAGCATTGACTCCCCGATATATTACAAATTACACCCTGGGCTAGGTTGCGGGATGAGATTTTAACATGCGATAACATGCATTGCTAGAATATATAATAAAGCCCTCAGACTGGAAGGTCATCCACCGATCTTTTGCAAACATCATGCATACAAATATTTAGAAAACTTTACTCAAAGCGAGATCACGTACATTTGCTAAGAGGACAAAATGATTTTTCTATGAGCAAAATGACAGGCAATAACTAAATTACCAATCAAGGTAAACACCAACATATTTATGTTTAGCTTTAACTAATAAGCCATCCTGTTATGATAGGATTTACATATTTATCCAGAGGAGAGGGAAGCCGATGAGACGACTTAATCATATGACGAACCACGGCCTCTCGTCAGGTTACCAGTCCATGTCGGGTATGAGATTAATTAGCCAGTCATCTGTTTTTCCATGCATGGACTTGATGGTGGAAGACGCCATAACTGACGAGCGCATGGGACTAGAACACATGAACCATTTCTCAATACACATTCCTAACTTACTTCATTTCTAAAGGATTCATGCTGAATCCATCAGAACCAGAATCACCACTTCCTAATAATGTTTCCTGGGTCATGCTCTTTGACCCTTGTTGATGAGAGGTCATTTGCAATTCATCATTGGTTTCTTGCAAGGAGTCCCGCTCAATAGATAATCTCTGTAAAGGAAAATTTGATATAAAATAAGAATATTATCATCTAATTTATAAAGTTAGCTGGGGGACTCGGTTGGGGGACTGATAATACAGGGCTGACATGAACAAAATACAGCCCAAAGGCCAAATCCGGCCTGTTGGGTAATTCAATCTGGCACGCCTAATGGTGCCACAACCAAACTAAAACCAAATGTTTTAGCTAAATAATAGCTTCAGAAATTTGTTGAGATTGCGGTTAAATTTAGTTTTTGCACGATGCTTTTTGTTTTCCACTTTTGCTTTCGTAACACTGTGAATATTGTTCATAAAATGTAACTTTTACGTCACACATACATGGCCCGTCAGTCTAGATGGGCAAAATTTTCAACCCCTGGTCCCAAAAACCTTGCTCTTCCTTGATGTAATGTAAAGCCTGAAAGTTTCCAGTCCTTCCAGTATATGAAGCTACTCATGTATGAGTAGTCGCTCATACAAAGCCTTATTCAAATTAAATGTGGGAAAAAGTCTGTAAAGCCTGTAGGCTGCAGTTCAGATAATGACAGTGAAGTAATAAGTAGTATTGAAGAATATTATTTTAAAAAAACCATCAGTAACAGCCTGGAGTCAAAAGTCGAAACAGGGGCTGTACCAGAGGAAGGGATTTCTTTGAAATGTAAAAAAAAAAAATTTTCTGTATCAAACATAGCAATTTTTCGTAGCTTTAGAAATTTCAGAAACCCCCGTGTTTGAAACTTCTTGGCCAAGATGATGTCTCTTCTTCCCACCCCTGGCTCTGAGTCCCATGTCTGTGCTATTTCAGAGTAAAACTTCACCTATTTGACCCTAGTTTAGATTTGGTGTTTTTTCAGTCTAACCGGCCCCCAAATCACGTAAATGCTAGTCTAGAGCCTATTTCAGAGTGAAATTTTACCTCTTTTTCCGCTTCAAAACATTGTACAAGAAACCAATTATAATCCTTATAATGAGGGGTACGAATTCCATCCTTGAAAATGTTTTTCCGTGAAATATGCAAAATTCATCCATAACCCTCATTACAGGGATTTTTTTTGATTTCTTGTACAATGTCATATTTTATACTTTTTTGCTCCAGAATTTAAATAAATGCAATTTCCTGGACATCCCTTTCCTCGACTTAACAACTCTGAGAAGCAGCAGGACTGAAATACTGCTTGACCAGAGCCTATTTCGGAGTGAAACTTTACCTCTTTCTCTGCTTCAAGATTCTTGATTTTCTCCGATCTTGTTTTCACTTCGAATTCTGCTTTATCTGCTCTCCTCGTCTCTTCTGATAATTTATTGTGAAGATCTAATACCTGGAGAAAGATGAGAGGGCAAAGGTCAAATATATGAACAAGGAGGTGAACCAGGAGGCGACTCAAAGATTGGCATACAAATCTTCAAATTACTGGAGTTCAATCTTTCCAGAAATTACATTTTCACATTTTTAAACATGTTCTTTCTCGGCCGGTTAATAATTTTTCTCTAATCAAGATAGGGCTATTGGAGTTGTTTATTATGGCGTTACAGTCCGCTCCATATATGATCAGGTGTAAATATGAGCAAATTATAAAATACCATTCAAAACTATAAAGTTATTTTTAATAAAAGGAAACATTCACATGTCCAAGATGGATCCAATGATCCAAAATAAAGAATTTGATGCAGTATGGATCAAATACTCAAAAGGTCCGGATTCGGACCTCGTTCCACTAGTTGAGCAGCCCTGACTAACACAACTCATATGGAAATGTGTCCGAGCACAGATGTTCGCATTATAGAAACTGGGGATGGCCTTGACGTAGGCAATCACGCATGGCAGAATAAAAACTGTGTTCCCATGAATAAAAACTTTGCACAGATATCAGATCTCATAGGATTCATGAGAAACAATAATCTTTAACCACTGAAAATTTCAAAGCAATTGCTCCAGTAGTTGAAGGGAAAAGCGTTTTTCATAACGAGGAGAAAAACACAAAAACATAATAACAAAATGATCCACTTAGAGTCCAACAAGAATTCGTCAACATTTGATTCAAAAGGTCTTTTTTGAGCATCAGAGAATTCACTCAGAGCTTTGTCAGAGGAAAGATATTTTTAGCGGTATTTTATGTCTGTAACATTTAGTTGTAACTTCAGCAGAAACACAAGTGAGTCGGATGAAACATATAGGTTGGCTGGATCCGGCCAGCAGGTCATAATTAGCCCACCCGCGCCCTAACATTTTTTATTTACTATGCAAAAACCTTGATAAAAGTCTATTTACTATTTACCTGTCTCTTATACGTATCCAATTGCACTCGGGCTGCGTTTGCTTTTCTCAATTCTTCCTCAAGTTGAACGGTTTGTTCCATAAACGAAGTGTTCTTATCTTCTAAGAGTTTAACCTGAAAAAATAAAGGAAAATCCTTATTTATCAAAATGTTTCCATGCATGTTTTTTACATCCTACACTCCAAAAAAGTCTCACGACAAGTAATAACTGATTGTGAAATGTTTCACACAAATAGCTTTATCAAGACCCGCGGTTCCTAACTGGGTCTTTATAGCTCCCAGGGGAAGCCACTGAGCAGGTTGAGGGGGCCACAAGGATAGGCTTAAAATTAATTTTAATGGAATTTTGTTTGTATACTTTCACTTATAAAAAAAATATTTCAGACAAAAAGCTACTCATTTTTTGGGGATTTTTTATGCGTCTGGTTCTTTGCCAGAGAAGCTCCCATTATACTAACTGATAGCTTGTCTAAGTGATTATTAGGAGCAAACATGTAATATTCTAGATACCTGTCCTCTCAAATCACCCAGTTCTTTCAATTTTGTTTTGTACGTTTCCACGGTAGCTTCCAACTTTGTGGCTTTAATCGATGCGGAACGGAGATAATCAATCTCGTCTTTTAACATTCGTGATTCGTCCGCTAGAGTTGAAAGGTCATCGACACGGGTCTGTGATTCTGTCAGTTCACGCTCCAGTACCTCACAACGAAGTTTAAAGTCGTCTCTCGCCGATTCCAACCTGGAAAGCACAAATACAGAGTAGGATTAGGGTAGAAATTGCCGAGACTGCAATATTAAACCCAGTCAGAAATGATTTTTCCAGTGTCCTGAAATTTCGCTGCAGGAAATTTCGCAGCATAGGGTTAGGGTATGCCCTTAAATAATGAATCTTTTCGAAAAAAAAGTACTCCAAAAACCTAACTATTTTTATCACAAATACTTGTTTTACAGCAAAATGTTCTTGCGACGATTTTTCCTAAGCGGCAAAACTTCATGCCGAGAGATTTCTTACATCGAAATTTCCTAGATCCAATTTCTCCAAACATGGAATCTATATTGGGTATGCTCTACATTTAAATCTACAAAACTCAGTTTTAATTTATTAACTAAAAATTTGTAATCGGAAAATGATTTAAGAATCTTGTTCTAATTGTATTGTCATGTATTATAATGTATAAATAAGTAGAGTAAAAAGCTAATTTAAAATTTTTTTTTGATATTACATTTTCGAGTTGTCGCTAACATCTAATCCTAGAATCTAGAAATGTAATCACCAACCTGTACGTCTCTTCTTGCAGTATCTCTATCTGCTGCAACATTTGTGTATGTCTGACACTAGCTGGCGATGTAGGGTCATCAAAATGTTCTGCAGAAAGTCTTTCTTGTAGTTGTTCGTTCTCTAATTGTATGTTGGATTTCTCTTCATGTAACAGGGCAACCTGGATTAGAATCCTTGATGGGTTTCACGGCATACAGATACAGATATGGCCATAGATGTGAAATAGGCGTCAAGATTTTTAATTTTCGTGTTCAGGAATTTTCAATGGTGGTAATATAGGTCTATTTCTCTAAACCTAGAGTACCACGGTCGTAAATTTCCTCAAAAAAAATAATTTTTCATGGCTGCACTTAAACATTCTTTGAATATGAAACAAACTCAAGTTCAAAGATAAAATAATAAGTAATTTGCTATTCTGAACAATTATTCTTAAATTTTAAATATCTGATATATACTATAAAATGGATGAATTCAAAAAAAATTTGTGCAAATTTTTGAAAATTAATAGAAATGAATTTGGTAAATTCAAAATAGCTAAGATAAACATTGTTCTGATTGAATCTCTATTGACACAGCAGCGCCAGAAGCTATGTGTATGTTAACATTTGATCCCTGTATGATAAATGCCCGAAATGACATTTTCCCCAATGAAACTTATCTAAATTATTCCTAAAGACAAGAATTTGTGATATCGTGTAACCAATTTCGAAACAATTGCCAATAGTATAACAAATTTCAAGTGAAAACGGTGGCGTGAGTGGAAAGTGTGAAAAAAATAGATGAAAAAGAGAGGAACGACAAACCTGATCGAAAAGCATTGCATGGTCTGATTGCAGAGTTGTGTGTTCGATAGAAATCGTAGTCAGCTGATGGAGAGAGAGAGATAGATATAGGAAATTTCAAGATAAGTGAGAATAAGAGATAACTTGAAAAGTTATAAAATATGTGACAGCTTGTGTGTCACTCTCTGAGTCAAACGAAAATATATCTGCTGGAAACATAGAAACAAAAGAATGAAGAACAAAGTACGCTCCAGAAGTGTGGTATCAATACGAAGGTAACTAATTTTTTTGCCTATTTTACATCAAGTTGTGTAAAGGGACTGAAACCTATGAAATGGGGTATATTCACTTGACTAACACAGACAGTCCCCGAACTCGCCCTCTTTTTAATAGAACTAAAAAGAGGGAAATCTGTATATAATTATGGCCTAACCCTAACCTAGAAAAATACCAAAAAAAAAAGATAAATCAAAGAAGATTTTGTGTGTTATTAAGGTGCTCCCGAAGTATGCGAACCAAGATGGCGGACATCGGAACGTAACATGGGTAACAGGTTAGGGTTAGGCGATAATTTTTTTCCAATTTTCCTTATTTTAGTCCTATTATCAGTTCGAAGACTAGCCAAGAGCCTCCCGTAGTATTTATACCTAAAATTATGGCCTAACCCTAACCTAGTACACATATTACATTCCGATGTCCGCCATCTTGGTTCGCATACTTCGGGAGCCCCGTTATTAATAATGGTGTGGTATATATTTTAACGGAACCGGTACAAAGCAAGATCACACACACATACTCAAAATAATTGAAGGCAAACCTAAAGTTACAGGCGAGTCACTACTACATCTTAATGGTGAGTGGTCGCATGTATTGAATAAAAAAGAGAATTTTAATAAACATGTAAGCTATTCCTAAAGCACCAACTCTCGAGAATCTTTTGCACAGGAGGAGTAAAGAAAGAATTATACCAGAGTCATAGTTTGGAGAAACATTGGGTTAGCCAGGGCAATTTGTCATTTGTACATGGACCTGAGAAATTACCTGATTATCAAGCTCATGACACCTTTGCGCCATTTCTTCTTTCTCCGCAATCAGTTCTGTCATTCGTTGCCGTAGTGATTGTAATTCCTGACTCATGTCTGAATTTGCTGTGTCATTGTTTTCAGATCCGCAGGGAACATAGTGTTGCATGAGTTCCTGAAATAGAATAATATGATGGAATTCAGGATACAAATTTAGGCGCTCCAGAAGTGTGAGTACCAATATGGAGGTAACTAATTTTGTTCGCCTATTTTACATCAAGTTGTACTTCGGGAGTACCCAAATTTATTTCAGAAAAGAGGAAAGACAAAATAGCTGGCTCAATCACAGCCTTCACAGGATAAGATTTTCTTTTATAGGGTGTCCATAAAGTCCCTTTACCATTTCAATTTTGTTATGAAGTCAGTTTTCAATATATCTTAACCAAATTTGTTGTTATATTTAAATCAGTAATTGTTCAAGTATTTTTACTTCATTCAATACATCCGTGAGGCCCAAAACGGGGCTCCTGAAGTATGCGAACCAAGATGACGGACATCCGAATGTAATATGTGTACTAGGTTAGGGTTAGGCCATAATTTTAGGTACAAATACCACGAGAGGCACTTGGCTAGTCTTCGAACTCATAGTAGGACTAAAATAAGGAAAAATGGGATTAAAATTATGGCCTAACCCTATCCTGTTACCCATGCTATGTTTCGATGTCCGCCATCTTGGTTCGCACACTTCAGGAGCAACCCCAAAACAATATATGGTATAGATAAATTCCTTTTAAAATTTAAAGACTTCATGTATAGGACTTCATATGCCGGGGGAGAGGAAAAAGGTAAAATGACTTAATCATAGGAATAAATTTCCAAGTTTATTTCAAAGGGAACGTCAATCAAATGGCTTCATAATAAGATAGGTTGTTCGGTTCATCCTGGGTTGGAAAAAGTCGACAACAAGGCTTGTTCAAATGATTAACCATGGCACGTAGTCAGCTGACAAGTTCAGGCAAAGTTAGGATAAGATTTTTATTTTAATTCATAATTTATCGCATTTCATAGTTAGTTGAGTTGTTTAACCGAATTAAAAATATTGTCGCACAGTGTCGAAGAGGCAGAAACTGTTATCGCATCCTCCAAATTTAGTATACCCAATTTAGCAGTGGTTCCTAAACCGCGGCCCACGGGCCAATCACAGCCCGCCTAATATGTTAATATGGCCCGCCGAAGTTGGGTGAAATAGTTTATTAACACTATGATTTTACCTTTTTTGCGTTCTAGATATCGCCAAGTCTTACGTCATTATAACAGTTTGTATATTCGTAACAATTCAATTACGTTCTTAATTATAAGTTCCAGTGCCACGGCCTTTTCCGACGTTCCACTCGACTGGCCATCCTAGCGTATGACAATGATTTCTAGTCGCAAGACTCCATAATCGCTTACCTAATTTTTTTTCAACCAGCATCCCAATTCGCTTCAATGAATTCATAAAACTGATAAAGGAATTGTGAGGATATGATTTTGTTATATTTTTTGTGTACCGAATAAATTGGACTTTAATTACCTGAAGTTTCAATTCCAAATAATGTCATAATTCTCAAACAATTATCTATTATTAAAACCTAATTATTTGATTAGTAAGACATTTATGAAACTATAATTACTCATTTGGGAGTGGAAAAGTCTAACGGGAATGTTTTGTTTTTTAACTGGGATACTCTGGGGTTGCGTGGGTTTAATGTTGAAATCTGAAATCTGTATTATTATATGTTTATTCTTTAAACATATTCAAATACCTTTAGGTTTGCCAATATTATGAAACCGGCTACACTTTGTCATTTTGTTTTGCCAGTATTAGATTTTCTTTTACATATATTCAGAGTTTACTACTATTGTCCTTACAGCTATACAATTACAATTAATGCAAAGGGGTTGCTTGAGCCTCTCGAATGTTTAATTGAGGTTCTGCGCCACCGATAGTTGAAAATCGCTGGGTGTAAGAGTGTAACAATATTATATACCATATTGAAAGAAACAGATATTGAATTCATTTGAATATTAGCTATTCTGGACACCTTTAGCCTACTAGGCAGACACTTCACCACCTGATCGCAACATAGGAAAACTGAAAACATACAATTAATTACTAATTATGTCTATCAATTTACAATGATTTCTAGAAATTTCCCCGTTGTACACATCTAATGTGGAAAATATTTAATATTCGAAAACGGTTCCATTACATTTGAACCCACGTACATTTGAACCCATGACAATTGCACCTGTATGCTATTGCACCTATGAAATTTTTTTTGTTTCACGGATAGTTAAACCCATACTAACCCTAACCCATGGGTTTTAGCAACCGCATATAGATTGAAACCGTGGATATACGCATGGGTTCAAATGTTTGGTCACCTTCGAAAACATCATTGAAAATATATTTTGAAATAATAATTATTATGTTTTTTGTCACCTTGGTATCTAAAGGGAGATTTGGCTGTTGCGAAATTTATTGAAAGACTTCTTATTAGATGAAGTAATTATTATATAAGACAGAAACTATAAAATGTCTCCTTGTTCCTGGACCATTATAGAAGAAGCCAGGTTTCAAGATAGTCAGGTTTCAAAATATTTCATGATCAGAGCTCCCTTTCAAAGACTCTAAAACAGATGCGTGGAACATTTTTTGTCGGTGAAGAATTTGGCGAGAAAGGCTATAAAAAAGAATGTGGCTATCATTTAGCCTTACAGTAATAACGGCACCAGGCTAATGAGTAAATAGTTTACTGCAGCGACAAGAGCCCCTGTTCTTATACAATTATTTGAAATAGGAATTGAGCTATTCTTAATAAATTAATAGTTATGAAAACATACTTAATCATCAGCCTAGTTACATATACGAAACTATTATTCATTCATTTCCTGCTAATTAAATGTTAATTACAAGAAATCTTAACGTCATTATCAAATTATAATCTGGCTTAATGATAGATGATTAGCAAAGATTAATTTATATCGGCATAGGTTCGTACATACAGAGTGTCTATAAAGTCTTTATACAATTTCAATTTTGCTATGAAGTCAGTTCTCAATATATTTTAATCAGGTTTGTTGTTTTTTAATCATTAATTGTTCAAGTATTTTTACTTCATTCAATACATCTGTGAGGGCCAAAACAATATATGGTATCGATAAATTCCCTTTGCAATTGCTGGACACCCTATATTAATTAGAGCAGTGTTTATTAAACTTTTTTTCCAGAATACCTACGCTTTTTATCTCGCCACGCAGAAAACCAAGATATTAGGAGGTTAAATTAATGGGTGGTTCCAAAATATTTAACCCATGGTAAAATTAAAAAGTATGCTGCGAACTTTCGATTAAAAACGGTCAAAAGTTAACGATATTGAACGGTTAACAAAAATGCCACGCTTTCCAGACTAGGACGAGGTCTGTCCGCTTGTTTAGATAGCAAGACTTGTTTGTTGCCAGCTGGGAGACAAATTTACTACCCAATGTCGCCGAAGGCTGATGGCCGAGATCGCCATGAAGACCAATTCAGACAAAATTTCTATCCCAGTTTAGCAAAACAACAGTTCCACCAAACACTGTTTGAGAAACAATGGACAATAGAATTCCAAAATAAGTGGAATATTCGAATAAGGGATAACTAAAATCGTATAATTCACATATTAATCGAAAATTGCTGAAATCCAATCAATTTCGGTTCTGAATTAGCCTACTATCAAAATGATATTTTCAAATGTTTACGACATCCTGCATTAGCTTACGGTAAGCCGAAAATTTGCAGAAATAATTGATATTCCATAGAAATTGCATTTAACAACGATTGTTTTTCTACTGTTTTCTACAAGATAATTAAAGTCACTTTTTTGTCATTTTATTTTTTCAGTGTCAAATCCAAAAATCTCGATACAAAATATCTATTTGGCATTGGAATGTATTTGTCACAAAAAATAACATTGAAATGCCAAACTCTCAGTCCAAAATATACTAAATATTACAAAATAAATACAAGGAAGCAGTGCCCAGAAGTGTGTGTACCGTACCAATATGGAGGTAACTAATTTTGTTCGCCTACTTTACATCAAGTTGTGTGAAGAGACTGAAACCTATGGGCAGGGGGTATATTCACTTGGCTAACACAGACAGCCCCGAACTCAAATAAAACTAAAATACAAAATATCGAAATAAAATTATGCCTTAACCATAACCTGGTACACACACTACAGGAGTACCGAAATGACTACCTGAATTGCTGTCATAACCACGTGTTGTACATCTTCATCTAGTTGCATAATTTCCTCAATGTAGTCTGAAAATGAAAAACACTATTAGTTTTGTGAATAAAACATCAACAATTTTGATTTAAATGTAATTCAATCTATGATGTAGATACAATTATAAATACAGAGTCGTAGAAATTTCGCACAATTTCATAGTAATAACAATTAAAAATTTCCTTGTCTTTGTTTATTAATAGTTCTTATTCTGCTTGTAGTTCTCAGTTATCATACAATAAAATGTATTTAAATTTACAGTAGGTATTACTATAAAATCGGGCCAAATTTTTAATTATTATTACTATAAAATTGATGAAATATTCTGGACACCCTGTATTTTACAGTCAAACAATTAAACAAATTGAAATTAATTTTTTTCAAATGAATAGTCGTCAACAATGATACCTCTTGTACCCCAGAAACCGCCCTGTGTCCTTGACTGCCAAGGGCCACGCTTCAAAAACTCTGCTCGAGTTGATATGAAAGATATACACTTACGTTGCTTTTTGCTACAATTCACCACGACTCCTAGTATGAGTTGCAGAAGTCTTCCTAATTGTTGTTTATCAGTCTGTTCACTTATTGCCATCAAATCAGGAAGTTGAAATCCAACAAGCTCATTTCCAGTGACCTGTTTAAGGCAAATTTTAAAGATATGTGTGAATATGTGTGAAATTTGGCACACTTTAACTCAGAGGTAAATGATATGTCTCGCTGATCATAGTTAGAGGCAACTGCTAAAACTGCTATATACATATGCACGGGTGAAACGTATTTTTGCCACGAAAAATTGAATCTGGTTTTAAAATGAATTTTGTTAGGAATGCCGGTTTTTATAGTTGCCCATACAGTAGCCTCTCTATTGTTATAAGCCTAGTAGTAACCACTCACTACATAGGCCAGGGTGGGCGACTTCTCTAGTCAGCGGGCCAGATGTAGGTAAATGAAGTCCTCGGCGGGCCGGATTATAACATGAATAGTATTCAATATCTTTTAAAATCACATATTTATTCGCTATTTAGAATCTAAATACAAATATAACTGATGACAGTAGTGGGGAATGTTTACAATGCTCTCTGCTTTGGCCTTATAGTGTTTGTTTAACAAATGTGCTAACGCAATTGTTTGTTCACTAAGGCAATTGTTTATTTCACCAGCTTGCATTGACAGTGCGGTGAGAGTAGAGCGATCGTCAACTTTCAAGAATGATGTGTCGGAGCACTTTACAGAGCATGGTTGGATACAGTCAGCAGGCCGTTCAAAATTTCATAAGTTGCCCACCCCTGATCTAGGCTATTCATATAAGCTTAGCAGGACAAAAATACAAGTTTTATAGTTTTTATCGGTATAGTGATTTAGTGTCAGTAGTTTATTTTTTCAACAAAATGAAAATACACGCTGCACATACAGTAAGAAATAAAACTCGCAAAAAATGACATTTTGGGGTGAGGGAAGAAGCAAAAATCAATATTGGCTTTTGAGTAGCAAAATCTTTGATGAAGCCTAACAGAAGCTATTGCAAATGATAAAATAATGAGCATAACAAATGCTGATGTCAGCATTTTTGTATACAAGAAAAGATGACTCACTTCTCTGAAATAGTCGATCATATGATTGAGAACTTTCTTGAGGTTGTTTGTCTGAAAAAAAATGAAACAGATCTTTAGTTTAGAATTGCATAAAATGTGTTCCCCTTTCGAACAGTTGCAAAGTCGGCCAATATGGAGGTAACTAATTTTGTTCGCCTACTTCACATCAAGTTGTGTAAAGGCACTGAAACCTATGTGGTATATTCTCTTGGCTAACAAAGACAGTCCCAGAACTCATAATAGAACTAATATAAAAAAATCGGTATAAAATTATGGCTTAACTCTGAACCTGGTACACACACTACGGGAGTACCGCACAGTTTTTCTGTTTAAAATCAAACCAGGATCTCCGCTGATAAATGAATCAACCCGCATTTCAGTAAATCATTACCATCCACGATATTGTGAAAAAACTAGAAATTTCTCAACGATCCGCTGAACGTTTTTCGACGATACCATGGAAACAATACACCAAACCGGATTTTCCTTGAAGCACACATTACTAGACTAACACCATAACCCACGTAAAAAATTTCAACCAGGTCAGCCAAACAGTTAGGCGCTGCAGCTAAACACATAGACAGAGAGAACAACTGAAAAAGCGGAGATCCAAAAATTGAAATTTTGTGAATTAGGAAATAAAATGTTAGGAAGTGTTGATAGCATGATTTTCCATTTCTAAAATCACTCATAAAATAGAAATAAAATTCCACCTTGAGTCTAAAGTTATCCCCGACGTCTTCTTTTATCCTGGACAACCACGTTGTATCGAAAAATTCACCGTCTCTGAAATAAAAATAAAGATAACAAAAACAGGAAAGTTGTATTTAAAAAGATGGCTTCTGTTAGTAAATAAATATTGTTCGGCTTTCTTTCTTTTTTTCAATTTTTATCTCTTTCTGATTCAATGACCTCCTCATAGGTGACGCTGCTCAATAACCATTACTGGTTTATCGCGTCTCCCAACATGATGAAATACCTCACATGATTTGTATACTCACGCATTTTTGGTATGTGAAAAAATTAAACTACTGAATGACTGTATATAAACAATTATAGAATTCAAATTTTCATCTTACATTTGGCCCAATATTTGAGCGATTGCAACTCCGTCTGTTACTTCATGAGGATATTGATGTGGAGCAGGAACATCGAAATTTGAAAGCTGAAAAAAAAAGGAAAACTATTAATACTTATAAGATATACTATAATAGCTACAAAATCAAGACTCTGGTGCCTTTTGTAGTCGCAGGAGGGATACAGCAGAGAAATTTCTCTTCCAACAGGGGAGATCCATTTATCAGTCCAAGATGATATGGAATAGAATAAAGCAGGGTTTACCAGTCGGCAGAAAAAATATTTATATTGGATTGGCAACTTACGCATTTCGGCTTCAAATGCCATGACAACCCCCCAGTAATAAATCAGACCAGGGGTGGGCAAAGTATGGCCAGCGGGCCAGGTCTGGCCCACGACGAGATTTTGACCGGCCCGCTGACTGTACATCAGTACATTATGATATTACCTCATTACATATTTAGTACATTATGATAAATTCATTATGTGTTTTTTGTTCATTTTTTTTTGTCAAGTTTAAACTTTACTTTAACACGATTTATACGACTTTCTTTTTTGCATTAGTGAATAAATATGTGATTAAGATATTGAATACTATCCATGTTATAATTTGGCCCCCCGAGGACTTCATTTTCCCACATCTGGCCCGCTGACTAGAGAAGTTGCCCGCCCCTGGATTAGACAGACAATGTAAAAACAAAGATTGCAGCCCTTATGAAAATACATACATACAGACAGACTAATACCTATCAACATCGATCTTAAGATCTATAACAAATAACTGAATTACTCACCCAGGTCATTAAAGAATCACATAATATCTCGTGTTCATCCATATTTGGAGTTTTTGAATCCTACTAATTCCAACAAGCAAATTTCCCAGTTTTGCCAAACCGTTCAAAACTGCAAGTAAAAGTCCAGTACAGCCTTGAAGGCCAAAGTTTTCTTTTATTTTTCTTCTATCAATTTATGGGATTTTGATAGTATAATTACTCAATATATATTCTAGAAAAATCTGAAAGATATAACCATATTTATCAACCAGATTGTTTTTGAATCATGCTACAGCAGTCCAGTCTGACAGTGCTAAATTCTAAACAACCAAAGCAAAAATAAAACAACATACACAGAAAGGGTGGAATAGTTATTACGCGATTATCGTATCCATTCTAGGCAAAGGCATATTTTTAATTTGGCCTCAATTTTGTTGTGCCAGTTTGACTGGTGGCTAATGAAAAACGATTTGATTGATTGAATTTGTGAAGCAGACTAAAACTCAGAATAAATTTAAAATGTATGAAACGCGTTCCACCCACCTACTGACTTAAGGTTGTAAGGAGGGGTCTTGTGTACTTTCTTACCTCACATACTTCTAGTGGGCGTAGCATGAAATTTTTTTCACGTATCAATCCTAACCCCCACCTGACTACACCATCCAAAAATTACGTCATTACGACGTCACAGTGACGTAATAGAGCCCTTTAGACCATATGAACTGCTATCTAAGACGCGCAAACGAGCACCCAAAATCGAACAGTTACCGGTATTTCTCTCTTTTCTCGTCGCAACGATTCCAATAGGAGAGAGGTCGATAACGTCAGTCAGTTCTTTCTCGTCGGCGACAATGCTATGATAACCTCCAGAACTCTGAAACCGCCAGTGCTTAAGTCTGATATTGCGACCTACAGACAGACAGACAGACAGACTAACTACTGGTAGGCCTACTGAACCAGGTCTTTAGGTCCAATTACTGAATTAAATTGATAATACATGTAATAAAAACATGGTTCTATCTTCCGTCCAATTCCAGGATACCGGTACCGGTACGGTACCGTAAAAGTGCGTGATTCATATCAGATCGTCTTTTGTATTCATTCCACCATTGGATAAACATAGAATAATTGAGAAATCAAAGCCTATTTTCTGTATTTCCAGGCAGCCAGTCAATCTAATTTCTAACGGTACCGTAGCCTACAACTTTTTCAAAATTGACCAACATGCTCTCATAGTCTAAAAACCTACTAAATGAATTTGTGAAGCTATTCTGATAATTTTTACACCTTGATAACGCAAACTAAGTTAAACTTGACCCGAAAAACTCAAATCCATAACAGCTGATCCTTAGATTAACACCTTTCACCCTTTGCGTCGACGATGTGACGTCATTAATTCACATTCTTTGTATCATTTATTATTTTTTTACGGTTGAATATTTGAAATACTGATGCCAGATATTTGAAAAGATTTTTAACTTTTTAGAAAGTTATTTATTATTCCGTTAAACAAAATATTGAACTAACATCATGAATAACAAAGTAAAGTAGCAGACATCGTTTTATTCAAGTATAAACTTTGTAAAACAAATATATTAGGAAGTGATCATAAGCAAAAGGTGCACGTGCAACTAAGTATAAGTTTATTTTGACTCCATAAACAGCATGAAAGATGAAAATAAAATAAATAGGACTAATTACAGAATTGGGGAGCGAATAAAAACCTAATTAAGTTTTAAAAGGTACAGATTTTAAATTAAAAGGTGATTTTAGGAGAAGTGGTACGTGTCCACTATCTCTACTTATTTTTAATTTGAGGAAGGGGAGAGTTGCAGTGATTTATTGACAGTTTTGTAGACCTATGCGTTTCTGTAACACAAAGTAAGTACATTTACTTAAATTAAGTCAAAATATTCGGGACTCCAAATTATTATAAAGACATTGCTTGAGAAATGAAAAAATAAAAGCAAGAAAATAAAGCCATGAAACAAAAAATAAAAATTTAATTCAAAACGTATAGAAAAAGGTATTTCTGGAAAATATATATTTTGCCATTGTTGTAAACTGCTTGTCTGGCCCTCAGGGCCCGTTCACATATGTTCACACTATTGCGTTGAGGCATTTTCAAACCTTGTTTGCAGTGGCGGCGCGTCAATAGGGCCAACCGGGGCAATGCCCCGGTTGTTTTTTCGGCATAATAAAAAATATTCGAAATATACCTCAATATCGGTTGCACAGACTGTCTACACCAGCCATATTCTCCCGACATGGTTCATTTTTCGCTCGCAAAGCCTTCGCCGAACGTCGACGGGGCGACGCCCATTTATTTAGCAGATGACATGAAATTTCCACGCCATTGTTACGTAACAAGTGAACCGTGGCACGCTGCGTTAACGCATTCGAAGTATGAACACCCTCAACGCCAAAGTCCTTATGCTCAACGCAATTGCGTTGGATTACGTTCCAAACGCAACGCAAACACATGCGTCAATGTGAACTGAGGAAGTCTGACTCTGGTCGGACGAAACGTTACAGTAATACATTTGTGTTAGTGTGCAGCTGGACTTTTTAATTGGATAGAATAGTCATGTTTATTCCAGCTACAGTATCCTTGCAGTATACGGATCCACTAGCATAAAGGCATAGAGAAAAGATAGGAAGTTAGTCTCGCGCAACCCAACTCAAATTTCTGAAAATACTAACTGATTTTTCAAAACAAGAATCACGAGCTTGCTCACCAGATATAAGTTGTTTGAGGCTCTATATAACTTATTTAAAAGCGGCACTCAAAAAATCTAAAATAGGCAATTTTGCTATAAAAACATGAAACATCATTGTCTGTGATGTTTAAATATTAATCGTTATCAAATAAAAATTTTAATTTTAAAACCTGCTCAAGGGCGATACCTGGTGACCTAGTCACAACGTCTCCATAGCGATATTCGATACATCGTTTCCTCTGATTTTTTGTTGGCTCGGTTTTCAATTTTTGGCTAATTTTATCATTTATTTCACCGTAAAATTATTTAAATAAAGATTTCAGGATGTCAGAAAGACGGGCACACGATATAGCTCAAGCGAAAGCTGCTAGACTTCTTCAAAAACGTACTGGAAGCGTCTCATCGAGTGAAAACATTGGTCCAGCTCCTCCGCATACGACACCAAGACGGCATGCAAGAGGGGGATATGCAGCGTAAGTTTTTGACTGATGTTGGTTTCCTTGTACACAATTAATGACGTTTCAATAATTTTAATATTATCTTACTCTGATATTTTATATAGAGCAAAACCACTATACTGACATAAAAACTGGAGAATACCAGCATAAAGGATAGGGTTTACATATTTACCGTATCCGGAAAAACGCTAAGACGGCTTAATCATATGGCAAACCACAGCTTCTCGTCCGGTTACCAGTCTATGTTGGATATGGGATTAGTTATCTAGTTGTTTGTTTTTGGAAGCATAGACTAGATGGATGAGAAAACCGTACACGACCAGCGGTTACTACGTGAACCACCCGCGCGTAGTCAAGCAATCCTCTTGCACATAACCATCTTGCATGAGATTCGAACCTGTGCAGGATAATCAGAGGTGTGATGGCGAGCGTATTCTTAATGCTCAGCACGAATTAATAGTGTTTGGTACAAGTTTCTAAACCCATAGGTGACTGACCATGTGAATGACTGAGTTAAGTCTCAGTAACAGTTATTTGACGACAATATTCTTCATTCAAACCACTCGATTCACTTCAGATTTTCAAAAATTGGTCTTATTTGTCTTGTTCCAAGTTTTTATCAGAAAACAATCTAATCTAACAATAACTTTCTCAGGTCCGTCAGCACCGTCGTATCACGTATGGATCCTCACCATCTTGACGATGACATTCTGCTCTCGAAACCAATGCAATATGAGAACACTTACAGAATGGCACCGAAGAAAAAGTTTCCAACAAGTAGAATTGAAGGTTTGTTGCACAAAATTTTTTTCCTATTTCCTCTTATAAAAAGCCTTGTAAGAGCAACCTCTTATGCAGGCCCAAAAGTGGTTCCACTGGTGCTGCTCGGCAGTCTTATGATAGATTTTACATATTAATCTCAGGGAATAGGGAAGCCGTTAAAACAGCTTAACCATATGGCAAACCATGGCCTCTTGTCCGGTTACCAGTCCTTATCGGGTATGGAATTAGTTAGCCAGTTATTTGTTTCAGATGCATTGACTTGATGGTGAGGGAATCCATAACCAACTAGCAGTTACGTGTAACACCTTATGGCGGCAAGGAGTCCAGAAATCCTTTCACAGATAATTATTCCCCACAGGTTTCGAACCTGTGAAACCACGCATAATCAGAGGTGCGGTGGAGAGTGTATTGTTAAGGCTGTAGCACAATGCGTCACACCATCCGGGTATGAGTTTGTTTGCCTTCAAGCTTATTATGACTTTGGAAGTTCACCATGTTTTTTACGTAAATATTTTTGCCTCAGAAACGCAGCATGATATGGATGACTTATTAGGATTTTGGAAGTTTCACGTTTTGTTGCGTAAATGTTTTTTTAGGTCAATTAGAAATCTAGTTTGCGTCAAAAACGTAGCATGATATGGATGACCTATTGGGATTTTGGAAGTTTCACGTTTTGTTTCGTAAATGTTTTTCGAGGTCAATTAGAAATCTTGTTTGCGTCAAAAACGTAGCATGATATGGATGACTTATTAGGATTTTGGAAGTTTCACGTTTTGTTTCGTAAATGTTTTTTGAGGTCAATTAGAAATTGTGTTTGCGTCAAAAATGTAGCATGTTATGAATGAACTACAAGCTTTCTAAAATACACTTCCGAAGACGGAAACCACCAATTGAGTTTGTTTACAAACCAGCTGATCGCGTTTTATTAAACCCACTTTTTTAAGTTTCAAGTATCAGGGGTTCGCTGGCGAGCGTATTCATAAAGCTTAGCATGATGCGCCACACTGCCGTGAGGGAAAGTTGTTAACTCGGCCCGATCCACTATTCATTGAAGACTCAGGTCATCTAAATGAATTCACACTCGTCATCAAATGACCAACTCATCTTAGATGACCTGTGATTCTGGGTTTGAGCAATCATAAAGATCACTTAAAGTAAGGGTGCAAGCTTTAATATAGAAGGGCCAAATAGAAATAACTGGGTGAAACCGCGGGCCGCACCTTCATTTAACATAGGCTATCTAGTAGTTGCAGGCACAAAAACTTTAGTTATTGATCTTAAGACATGTGTTGTTTGCACAAGGTAGCTGTTAAGGCATTGTAAAGTCATCGGCATAGATCAGCAGTTTTTCAAACTGTGTGCCGCAGAGGTATTTGGATTTTTAGAAAATAAGGTATTTGTAGTACACATAGACATGCATGCAACGGGCATGCAAAGGGATTAGGATTACTTGCACATATCAAATAAAATTAAAAACGCGTTTCATGGGCCGCACATCATTCAAAATTGGCACTTCTCGGTGGTCTACACGATTTTTTCTTGAGGGTCGCATTAGGCCCGCCGATTGTACACTCTTGACTTGGAGTATAACACTTTGAAACTTTTTTCCAGCGATTATCAGTGACGCCCTCACAAGCTATCTTCACCCAGATATTGTGTATGAGCCTGAACATTGTCGTGATCTGACGAAAACTATTTCAGAAGTTATCAAAGCTCGAGTGAAAGAAACTGTTCTACCGAGATATAAAATTGTCTGCGTTGTCAATATTGGACAAGTCAATAGCCAGGTTGGTATTCAACTTTAAACAGAGTAATTTGTTATTTCACTCTAATGAAAATAATTTCTTTTTATGGTACTCTCGAAGTATGTGAACCAAGATGGCGGACAACGGAACGTAGTATGTGTACCAGGTCAGGCAATAATTTCAGGTATAAATACTACGGGAGTCATTTGGCTAGTCCCCGAACTCGTAATAGAACTAAAATAAGGAAAATTAAAATTAAATTATGGCCTAACCCTAACTTGGTACGAATACTACCGATCGGCCTGTCGGTATGCGGCATTGTGCCAAACGTTAGGAATACGCTCGCCACCGCACTTCTGATTTCCCTGTGTTGGTTCGCTGGTTCGAATCTCTTGCTGAGATAATTATGTGCGAGAGGATTGGTGAACTCAGTGCCGCCGTAGGGTGGTTTACGCAATCCCAGCCTACCGTCCAGTTACCAGTATATGTCGAGTATGGGATTAGTCAGCCAGTTGATGTTTTCACATGCATGGACTTGATGACGTAGGAAGCCGTAACCGACCTGCAGTTCTGTGTGCCACTCTATGATAGCAAAGCTATAGCTGATAGCTATGATAGAGTCCAACAATCGACACGCACATAGGATAAGATTTACATATTCATCCTGGGGGAGAGAAAAGACGATAAGACGGCTTAATCATATGGCGAACCACGGCCTCTCGCCCGGTTACCAGTCCAGGTCAGGTATGGGATTAGTTAGCCAGTTATTTTTTTTCGGAAGCATGAACTTGATGGTGGAGGAAGCCGTAACCGACCAGTGGTTACGTGAACCACCCTACGTCGGCGAGGAATCCAGCAATCCTCTCGCACATGATCATCCCCGCATGGGATTCGAACCTGCGATTCCACGAAGGGTAATCACAGATGCGGTGGCGAGCGTATTCCTAACGCTTAGCATATTTATTGATCAGGATTCAAACCCACACAGGATAATCAGAGGTGCTATAGCAGGCGTATTCCTAATGCTTGGAATTGAGCGCCCATCAAAAAAGCTCTAAAATAACCTGACAGCTTATGAGGTTAATTTAATTACAGGGTCTTCGAATGGGAAGCCGTTGCTTATGGAATGCTGAGCACGATACATTTGCTTCAGCGTCATTTAAGAACGGATCAGTATTCGCAGTCGGAAACGTGTATGGGATTTATTATGAGTGAAAAGAGACTTCTGAGGGGTCAAAGGTCAACTCTGAACCCTCTTACTAGTGTAGTCAGTGTTATTTGGTATATTTTAGATTATGTTGGAAACCTATTGTGCTGTTGAGTGCTGTATCAGCCCTCAATGTACTCCACATTCAATGGGTTAGCATGTAAAATTCAGTCTAGCGTACCGGTACATATTTCTGACTCCCAGCTTTAGTTAGAAATTTGGAATATGCGTGTAACTTTGCTCCGAAATGGGTGTCCTTTACTTCTGAGTGAGTGCCCGCAATTTTACTGAGAGCTAAGCCTCGTTTACTTTTGATTTAGTGCTTGTAACTCATTTAGAGTCAAATTTTATTCACCTCTGAGTGTGTGTGCGTAACTTCACTCAGTGATGAGTCTCATTTACTTCTGAGTGAGTACCTGTAACTTTGCTCAGAGATGAGTCTTTTTTACTTCTGAGTGAGTGCCGGTAACTTTGCTCAGAGATGAGTCACCTTTATTTCTGAGTGAGTACCTGTAACTTTGCTTAGAGATGAGTCTTTTTTACTTCTGAGTGAGTGCTTGTAACTTTGCTCATGAAAATTAAATTTTAAACTAACTCATTGTATCCGCTTTCTACATGCTTCTAGAAGGCCCTCATAAAACTACATCTGCTACCAAATGAGTGCTCCAGCCTATGCATACCTAATGAAATCTCGAATTATCCAATATTTTGCTACCTTTACTTTTATGTGTAATCATTTAAAAATCAAATTTTGTACTTTATTGTTCATATTTTAGAATCAAAAATTTGCACAAAGAGTAGCAAGATGCATTTTAGGGGTTACTGCTGCCTTTTGTGAAGAATATTTTGTATCAACCATAAGTTATGAATCCCACTTCATTTGCCCAAAGTTTCATATCTATCCTAACCCAGAATATACGTGAATCCCACTTCATATGTTCACTTTAACCATTTGCCTCAAGTTTTATATCCATCTCAACCCAGAACATCCCATTAATCCAACTTCATATACTCACTTTAACCGTCAGTTGGTCCTGCAAAGTGTTCCTTGCAAAAGGCAGAAACCCGTTTAGTACTGTAGTATGTACGTGTTTTTGTTTTATTTATGTATTTGTTACATCACAATTCTTGTTCTAATTTTCAATTGTGGAAGAGTTGCAATTATGACATCACACTGCTAACTGATGACACCTCTCTTCTGTATCGTCTTCTGTGCCTAATTAACAGCGATAATTTTCAGTGCCAAATTTTTGTAAATTATAGATAAAATTAATCATGTATTTAACCAAAAATTAATGTAATTTTTATGATTGTTTTTAGAAAATTAAAGTCTTGAAAAAATTAAACTTGTTTTTGTGTCAGGGGGTAGATGGCGCACTAGAGCTTCTGTAATTGATAGAATATGATTTTCATATTTATCCCCGGGAAGAGGGAAGTCGAAAAGCTTGATCATATGGCAAACCACGGCCGCTTACCAGTGCATGTTGGGTATGGGGTTAGCCGGTTATTTGTTTCAGATGCATGGACTTGATGGTGGGAAACGCCGTAACTAATCATAATTACTCCCACAGGATTCGAACACGTGGACCCGCGCAGGGTAATTAGAAATGCAATGGCAGACGTTTTCCTAATGCTTATTAGCAGGTTGCGTCAATCGCCGTGCAAAAAATCTGGGCTGGGAAGCCGGGGAAATTTAAAATTGAATTCTCTTGGAAAATATTTCGACCTAATCCAGCCCCCAGAAAATGAAATTTGACAACAAAAAATTTGGGTATGCAAGCAAAGAAGCCTACGGGAGAGCCACGGGGGCAGCACGTTGTAGGGGAAGTTTGTTGCTTGATTTCACGATATAATAATACAAACGTTTCACCCTTACTTGACCTTCAATTCATTTTCACGCGCCCCAGAAGTATGTACCAATATCAATATGGAAGAAACTGATTTTGTTTGCCTACCTTACATCAAGTTGTGTAAAGGGGACTGAAATCTATGGGCAGAAGATACATTTTCTTGGCTAACACAGACAGTCCCCGAACTTCTATTACAACTAAAACAAGAGAGCTATGCTCAAATATATGGACACAGAGCCACCAGTGGCAATAATTTTGATGACGTCATAGCGAAAAAAAAGTAATAGCCTTCTGGAAAAAAATTTTATCTTCAACCACTGAAAATATCAAAGCAATTGGTCCAGTATTCGAAGAGAAAAGCGATTTTTTAAAAATGGAGACGGAGACAAATAACAACAAGAGAGCTATGCTCAAATATATGGACACGTAGAGTCACATAATTTTGATGACGTCATAGCGAAAAAAAAAAGTAATTGCCTTCTGGAGAACATTTTTATCTTTAACCACTGAAAATTTCAAAGCAATTGGTCCAGTATTCAAAGAGAAAAGAGACTTTTTAAAAACGTGTTAAAGAACAACAACAACAACATAATATTGAAACGATCGTTATGTCCACTACGTGTCCAATAACAATAACAACAAAATTTTGAAACGATGGTTATGGCCACTAAACGTGTCCAATAAAGAATATCGGAATAAGATTATGGCCTAACCCTAACCTGGTACATACACGATGGGAGTACCGGTAAAACATTTTAATCTTATGAAGAACTCTAAACATAATTTTGGTTGATTGAATATTAAAACTTTGTGATTGCATCAATGTTTCAATACCGGTATCTGATATTGAAAAACACTTAATCACAGTTTTAGCTATGTATATTCATCAACTATTGCTTATGAAACTTGCTGTTTTCATCGAGCTTGCAACTATAAGGTAATATTTTAAATGACTATAGAATGTATGGACTATAGACTATGAATAAAATTGAATTTTTGATCTGGGATTTATTGTTCATCCAATATTAACAGTGGTACTTCGGGTGTCGCTGCTCGATAACCATTTTTGGTTCCCCTCGACTTCTCTTCCCCAGTAAAACTGTGTACTATTTTCTTGTAATTTGTGCCTGTGTTATTTATTTATTTTTTTACTGGTTGGAGAAAAAAATAAACTTGATTGATTATGACGAACCAGGCCGTCTGGTTACCAACTTACCACTCCGACCGAGTCGGGTATCGAGTCTGTGACGGATTAATTAACGAATTATTTATTTCTGATACATGAAATTAAAAATAATATAGACACACAAAACAATAAAACAAAAGCTGAAATCCTGTTACATTACACCCGGACACCTTTATATATATAGATGTCCATGATAATTTTTCAAAGTTGCAAGGGGAATTTATCGATATCAAAATTGAAATTATAAAGGGACTTTATGGACATCGAAAAAGAGAGAGAAAGTGCATTGAAATTAAAGTCCTTGGTATTACTGTCAAGTTATAAGCTGGTTTCATATTTCACAGATGACACCGGACAAAAACGAGGTTGGAGGGTTATTGTACACTCCCTGAAATTCTTTCTCTTGATTTGTATTGACAATGATACCAATGTTTTCCCATGATGGATAAGATTTCGGAAGAGAGGACGTCCAAGTTTCCGTTTCTATGGTGATTGTTCGTCCATTGGACAACCATAGCTGATTGTTCTAAAACTATTGAATTTTATTTTATTGTCAAAATAATTGCCATATTAGTTGAGGAATGAAAATCCACTTATACCGTATTTACGGGCTATAAGGCCGTCAAGAAATTGCTCAGATTGGGATTTCTCCGATATGGCGTGCGTAGATCGGTATTAGACAAGGCGCGACGGGAATTAAATAGATAATGGAGAGGAAAGCCGACAAGACGGCTTAACCATATCGTCCATATGGCGAACCATGTTACGTGAACCACCCAACGGCGGGGAAGAGTAATCCTCTCGCACATAACTATCCCCGCATGGGATTCGAACCTGCGAACCCACCACGCAGAGGAGCGGTGACTAGCGTATTCCTAACGCTTAACACGATGAGCCGCAGCGACGCTCTTCACCACATCATACTGACCTTATACTTCTTTCCTGTCCAGACGATAGTAGATGACTGGCCAGCAAGAATCATTGAACGCAAATAGGAAATCAACAACTGATATTGAGCAGGGTCGTAAATATTCGCCGGTTGTCCGTTGTTCATTGGTCCGCAAATAGATTTAGCATTGTTGAATGTTACGTTATTTATACCATACACGACTGCTCGGTAGCACTTGGAACCGTAGAAAACGCCACATTTATCTGAAAACAACATTTATTGGTACTCCCGTAGTATGTGAACAAGGATGGCGGACACCGGAACGTAGTATATATGTGTACCAGGTTAGGGTTAGACCATAATTTTATTCAAATTTTCCTTATTTTAGTTCTATTACACGTTCGAAGATTAGCCAAGTGACTCCCGAAGTATTTGTCCTGGAATTATGGCTTAACCTGCAGTGGTGGAATCCATTTTTTTGCCAGCCGGTTCCATCACAAAAGTCATATTTTTCACTCGGTTCTATTACAAAAAGTCATTGAGAGTAACCAGTAATGCAAACCGGTTTGTTGATCTCATGAAATTCCGTGAGACGGTTATATAGAATCCCACCCCTGCTAACCTGGTACACATACTACGTTACGGTGTCCGCCATCTTGGTCCACATACTACGGTAGCACCCATTATTGTGATCAAGGAGCTGAATGGACTAAGCTTGGGGTGCGGTAGTCACAGCCAACGGCCGGCAACCAACTTGCCTAATATTAAACAAGGTCATGGACGCCATCTTGTGCCATATTTGGGAAACGCGAAACAATGGAGTCTTGTGAGAAATTTCCGTCGTGTTGTTGTACCGAATTGAATAAGTCCGATGTTATAAGGGCTAGAATGAAACCGAAGGGTGGATTTTGAATTTTAAGATATATGCTATCAATATATATACCTCAATTATGAATAAAAAACTATCTAATGCGATAAATTCGACCACAAACACAGCGTAGAACCATTTTTGGTCATTTTTTCAAAGATTTTATAGTGATACGCCAATTTGAGGCTGTAAAATGTCTCCGCAACAATCCTACAATGTCATTTGTTCTTCTAGCGCAGCTTGGAGCTGAGCAGTAGGGCATTATGGGGCTTGACAGACGAAAAATGTTAACCAGAAAAAAAAAACGGCCATCGAAGCGAAGTTGGGTCGGCCGGCAATGTCGACGAATAAATACAACTTTTCATCTGTGACGTCTGAGCGTTGCCTCGCTTATATTATATATACGCTTTGGTCACATCAAACATTATGTTTGTGGCCATCAAGCGGTCACTTTTACGTCGATGGAGTGCGTGGAAGTATTTCTCTATGACTCCGCACGTGCCTCAATCGAGCGCGAATATAGAAACGCAAAAAAAAAACGAGATGCGCCACTCGAGCAATCAACGACCGACGCTATCGACCAACGAGGTGTCGCTATACGTTTAAACGATGAATGAGCCATTATAAAAAACGAATAGGAAAATTGTGCCTAATATTTGAAATTAAAAATTGCTATTTCTCCAAAGTTGCGTCATTGGATCTGGATTTCAAATTTTCGGTTTCGGTCGTTTTTTCGTTTTGATCAGACTCAACTATTCTAGAGAGAGAAAAGCCGATAATACAAACTACATCAGAACGACAAGACAAATCTTTTTTAGATGTGAAAATGGCTCGCAAGTTCAGATGTGTGTTTGGTTGACAAAGTCGCAACTACTAGTGGCTTGATCACCATACTAGGAAAAAAAAACTATGACTTAGTGGTCAAAGCGTTTATACCTAATTGACACCATAGGTTCGAGATGTTGTGTTCGAATCTCAAATCTACTACTTCATCCACTACTCACAAACAATAGGGGTGATACAAAGAGATCAGAAGCTTCCAGGGTCTGTATTGCATACTTATTTGGCGCTCTCGTTGCATTTGTACCAAATGACGCACAACCTGCTACCCTGCCCCGGTACACGTGATATGTTCAGGTTGTGCGCCATCTTGATACGAATACAACGGGAGCGCTAAAAATAGGTATGCAATACAGACCCTGAAAGCTTCCGTTCTCTTGGTAATATCTCAGTTTCTTACATACAAGTGGGCGGGTTTGTGATGGTCAAATTAGTCAAAGTTAAATTATCAAATTTCAGAAGTATAAATTACTTTCAGCTTTTTTCTTCTCTTCGATACTCTTCTTGATCTGTCTGGCAATTTCTGTAAAACATTTTTGTGAGTAGGGTAAAGTATTTTATGCCAACGAAAAAATAAATTATGCTGTCACGATGCATTTTTAAGGAATATGGCAGGTCTATCATGATGCCAAAATACGTTTATCAAATTTGGAATATGACGTCATCAATGCATTTCACGTTGTATATTATGCCGTCAGAAGTTGTAAATCAAA